AAAAAAAGACCCCAATAAATTTCCGAAACCCACTGCGCAGAGAAAAGCAAACAAACAAAGGATTTGTATGTAAAACACAGTGTCGTAGAGCATTTAAAAATTTGCCAACGTCTGTCTAGGCTATTGGCTGGAAAATATACTTTGAGGAAAATGAAAGAGCATTCAAAGATGACATTCTGCATCAAGCAAACAACGATCAAACAACCTAGAAGGTCTGCTCAGAGAAATTAGACACAGCAACAACACCCACTCATTCGATCGTAATTGTGTAATTATTCCGACTAAGTGTAAAAGCTGATCGAAATCAAACTTGTACATTTTTTCAAACACTATCGCGATGGCAAATTTGACATGGAAGTAAAGGAAAAAATCCAGAGTTAAGAGAAAGAGATGCATTGATAAACAAGGATATTCTGAGGTGATTTTGCCATTCTTTCTACAAAGAATGAACATGCAGGCAGATGAGATAGGTATTTCAAAAATCGCAGCTGATTGACTGCTTCAAGTCAACAAATTCGCTGAAACCAACACCACCATGGCTTCCAGTGAGAGGTCGTTTCGGATGATCGGTGGTGTGAGCCAACGGATGGCGATTCAAAGAACAAGTTCTGTGAACCAAACCAGGTAAGGCAGCGTCATTCCCGTCGGTATCTAGCCGCCGCACAACAACTGTTGACTCGAACGCATCCCCTTCCAGATGAAGTGCGGCTAGTGAGTAAGCACCAGCACACTTCGCAGCCATAGCACTGAAGGCGGCCGATGAAGCAACACCTGAACCACACACAAACACGCGTATTAGAACAGAACAACCAACTGTATCGAGAAGATAACCCAAATCACACGCACGCACACCCACACACACACGGCACATCGCTATTAGCACACTGCAGTATTGCAACTAAATGAGAGAAACTTTCGCATAAACTTTCATCTACCAGCTAGCAGCAATTACACTAATCTGTCAAATGTGAGGGATTAGACCCACCGAGACGACAAAGACCTGAGAGCGCTTATAAACGATCTCCACGTTTAAAATTAAAATTAGTACTTATAAAACATATGGTTTCAATGCATTTTTCGATCTTATTAAAAGACAATATGGGCTAATCAGAGCAATTGGCTGCTTTTCCAGAAGATTTCTGGAGAAGAAATTCATAAAGATGTTGGAGAAAGTATCCTAAAATTGCGCAGCCACTGATTACCGATTGCGCGTTGCGGTTTGAAACGTATTGAGCGCTTACATGATTTATAAGGATCGAAAGATTCTTATAAGGTTCATAAGCGCAATAAGAATCGGACAATCGAGGGTGCGAGTTGCGCTGCAGCGCGCAGCTCTATAACAATTTGGTAGTTCAGCTGTGTGCCAGCACCACCCTTTATATTGACTTGCTCTGTTTTTAGGTGTGTTGAAGTGACTAGAATTCAGTAGAGAGTTTTCTGAGCTGCGTACTATAACAATAGATCGAATCGAACAACTATGCGATCATTCGAATAAATCGAATTCGACTCATTCAAACATTCGAACCAATGACTTTCGAATAAGTGCAAAATTCGAGTCGGAATTTTCTGCTATCAAATAACTCGAATAGAATGTCCGAGTATATCAATCCAAATTATTCAGGTATGCGAAATCCTTTGCGAATTATTCGAAAGTTATAGAGGAAGATAAAATATAAGAATTATAAAATATCGACGGTTCATCGAATTCAAATATCCAAACAAACTCGTTCGAAAATTCAAACGTGATATTTGATGTGTGTGGACGCAAAAATTGGACTCATATCCAAAACTTTACTTTAATATGCACATTTTAGTTGATCTGGATTTTTATAGTTTTGTTAGAAGCTCCATTACTAAACATGTGGGGATTACATTAGTGGAGCACCTCGGTGCCGAATTCACATCAGCTATGGCAGGAGCAGCAAGATCCTGATTGAGGATTACACTTTTTAAATGGTCACTAATTTGAAAGAGTAAAAACAGTGAAGTCCGCAAGCCAGAGCAGGGTCTATTTTAAGCACCTCGGTGACCGATGTCGCGTTTTGAACTTCGAAAAGCACATAATCTTAAGGTTTGTGAGGAAAATTTCAATTTTCGAATTATTCAAGAGATCGAATACTCGTTGAATTTTTTCTTCAAACTGTGATTCCCTTTTTTCCTTGAAATTTAACTGGAGTTTTAAAAGACGGCAGCGCTGCAACAAGAGCGCCGAAGGGTTAACCGAATGCCGGCCAAATTCAATATCTAACAGCAGGGTGCAGTGCACCCACGCCGCACCTCGAGATTTCCACGAAATATGGAGGCGCCCTTAAGAGAATATTACGCCTGCGTATTTTAACACTAAGCGCGCAAAAGTACGTAGCCCTCCCAATCGAAACAGACTATATGCGTTTCACGATACTTATGTAGTAACTTTGATTTGGACATCGCGCAAGAAGACGCATTACTTAGAAGTAGTGTTCATACATTACTAGAAAAAAATAGTTTCCCGATTCTTGTTTCTCCCTGATCGGAATCTTGCTATTTAAAACCGTATCAGTACAGAGCAGCAAGCATGCTTGTTTATCCTGATACATGCGTTCTAGTTTGCAATTTCTTTTTTTGAATTTGTAAGAGCATAGGATTTTCGGATGCAAAACCACTTTTCTAGCCTATAATAATGCAGAAAGACTAGGTTTCATTTCAAATAAGAATAAACCTTAAGAGAATTTGGTGAAATCTTTCAATTTGAGGAACATATCAAAGAAATTTGCTGTGAGTGGCATACTGCATGCGCCTAACACACATCATGCTAAGTGAGCAAAAAATTATTGACGACAACAAAAACTTACATGCGAATACTGTTGTGTGAACAGGATGAAGCATGTGCAGTAATCATATCATCTCATGATATATACAGAATGACTGATGACAATATAAGAGGACGGTAAGGTATCATCAGCGGTATGACGCCGGATCGACTGAAACGCAGTGATAGAAAAGAAACCAACCCAATCACGACCCAAATCATAATCACACTGTTAGTTGCGTGCAAGGGATGTGAACAAAGGACATTCTGGCATGTGCAACAACCAAACTCAAAATCTGTCCGATAAACGACATTCATTGAGCTTCGATAAAGAGATGCAGTAACTCTTGGATGGCTGACGCAAAGAAATTCGAGAAAGAGAGTCAAGAGGTGGAAGATTTCGAAGGACTTCCAAATCTGTGTACAACATAAATGAGCTATACTAATGATGACCCTAAAAAATCTTTCTAAACTTGTGATATATAGTTTACTACTCATCATTCAGTCGGAGTGGGGAACGATGTTGCCAATGCATGCGATATGACAACAAGACCTTCCAGCCGTTTTTGTTCAAAGAGAGACATAAGAGGGGCCTAAGGTGAGGAATTGTGCGAAACAAACGAGTTGGGCAAGTGCATATATCATAATTGATGATACAGAATGAAAAATGTAGAAGACAGATAACAGGATCGAAAAGTAAGTTACCAAAATGGCACAAACAATACAAAAAAAA